TTTTTGCTCTCTCTCATTTCTATTAGTATGGCTAGGTTGTGATAGCAAAATACCATAGAGTAGACAGCTTAAAGCACAGGATTTCTTTCTTTCTGCTCTGGAGTCTGGGAAATCCAAAATCATGGTGATTTCTGATTCAAGTCAGTTCCTGTGTGAAGGTTCTCTTCTTACATGAAGATGGTCATATCCTTTGTCTTCACATAGCAGACAAAGACAAGCAAGCCTTTTTGTATCTCTCTTTACAACCATTCATCTTCATGATCTTCAGGAAGGTTTCATCTTCACCATCTCACCATCTAAACCTGATCACCTTTCCAAACACCCATCTCAAAATAATTGCATTGGGAATTATGGGGGTCCACATCTATTTTGTGTGTGAAAAGCCACAATTTGGTCCATGACATTCTTTCCCTATTTGATCTTCTTTCTGAGGTCTATTGCTCACTTTTACCATCTTACTTTAAGGCATCTTTGTCTTTCATCTGGTTTATTTGCTCAGAATTCTGCTTTCTGTGATGGGAACAAGTGACTTCTTTACCAATTCCAATGGTGCCATAAACAAAAGTGAGTAGAATGTTAATCTACAAGATCAGAGGAGAAAGACCACGACTCAAATCATCACAGAACAATTCATTAAAGCAAGCATTTTTTTATTGGTGTACATGGGCTGCCTCCTCCTAAGGCAGGATTCAAGAGGTCAGCGGTGAACATAATGAAGACAAGGTTTTTACAACTCAGAGGTATGGAGTTTCCAAATGGGGCAGTTGGCTGGCAAAAATGCAAAGCATTACAGAAGCAGAACATAACAGGTGGTCATAACAACGTAGTCATGACAACCTTATGAAACAAAGGTAGGGTCACAAGATGGTTGTAACAACTTTTTGAAACAAAGACATGATTGCAAGGTGGTCGTAAGGTAGTCAGAAAAATAGATGACCATAATAACCTTCGAAACAAAGGCATGGTTGCTATTTCCTGGAACAGAGAATGGTGCAGAGACATTTGTAATGCTAAGACTACACATGGGCATAGCCCAACCATTGAGAAACAGAGGTTTAATAATAAACAGGAATGAGCCTAGTTTGTCTTTACTATAAGATGGCTTTTAAGCCTCCAATGAATGCAGGCTGGTTCTTCAGGAACCTGGGAGACTCTACATGGTAGATCCACCTGCAGCTGGACCTAAGAACCAGGAGAGCTCAAATGATTGGTGTGCTGGGAGTGTCATGGATAGCTTCAAATGTTTTCATGAGAATAGCCCCCGAGTTTACCTACATATTCAGGTTGAGTCCTGGGGAAACTAAGAAAGTCAGAAGACTAAGAATTATTTATTAGTATACATGGAAACAACTAGAAAACTAGTGAGATCGAATGCTTAATTAAAGTCTGTAACAATAATTGATGTGTATTCATGTGAAGGACCTCCCACAATCCAGTGAACATCTCACCTTTTCCAACATTTTCTCTCTTAACCTATTTTGAGGTAAAAAGTTGTTTCCTTTCTGTAGAAGTTACTAGAAACAAACATTAAAGCCCCATTTCATTTATACAGCCAGCAACCCAAGTTGCCCAGCAAATTACTATTTTGGTTATTGTTAATTTGAGTCTCTGCACACATTTCTGTAAGACTTAAAGTTCCAATAAGCAGAAAAAGGAATTGTCCTATATGTCATTTACATAGCTGGGGGGGGGTGCCTGGGGAAACCTTTTTTTAGGGGGGGGGGGGGGGGGGGGGATGCTAGGCTGTCACATACAGCATTTAGCAAGCTTTCTTCAAGTTTCCAGTGCCTCTGTGAAATTCAAAGGGCCTCAAAAAGAACATATTTTTAAACAGTTACTGCCTTTGCTGCTCTTTGTACTGCATTGTGCTTTTAGTAACAAGATTATGGATTCATTCTCGAAGATGTGTAAACTTTTCCTCTATTTTTAATTTTTTAGGAGTGGTAGCTAAGAATACATAGACTCTAATTTAGATAAGTTGGGACTTGACTACAATATTCAGCACCCTTGGGAATGTGTTTCTGCTATTAGCATCTCTCTGGGCCTTGGTTTCTTCACAGATTAGATTGGGATAATGATGGTCTGGTAAAGTGGTTATGGGACCAGAGACAATGGTGTATGTCAAGCGCCTGGCACATGGCAAGCACCCGTACATTGTTATCTGGACAAGTGCTGCAACCAGCTGTTTACATTAAAGGGCATTTGAATTCTCTGAGCTTGCTGTAGCTTGATCGCCTTCTTTCCTGCCTGGTGACCGACTTTCCCTTTCCTCATTGTTCTAAGAATACTTCTGCATATGGCCCATTGTAAATAGTAACAATTGTTTGGTTGTTCCATGAGACAGGAGAAGCCTTCCTGGAGCCTGGCTGACAGAGCTGCCTGTCTGACCTGTCTAGCTGCTTGGGGGCTGGAGACAGGGCCCAGTGTGCTCACTTCCTCCCTAGGACAAGAACAGTGTCCCTAACCAAAATAGACTCTAGTCTTCTTGCAAACACTACCCAGAATAAACTCAAAGGAAATAAGGGTTAAAGTCCACTGGAGGGGTTATTAAGGTAGAATTCCCCCACCAAATACAAAGCTTTTCAATAACAGGTATTAGAGTATATGAGCCATTTTATGCCAATTCTAGCTTATAAATGGAATAATATACTAAGTAGTCCTGTTTTAATTAATTGAACACAGATATCTTACCTTTGGAAATAAGCATGTAAGGCTATGTTTGTAAATAAAGACAATTTAATCAAAAGGCCTAAAATTCAAATCATTCATGGGGTTGAGGAGAAAATCAGTTAATATATTAGCATTAAACAAATACTAAAATTTAGATTTCTTCACACCTATAATAAAGCTCAGAATAAAATGTTTGTATGGTTCTTTCTGTTTCTTTATAACATTTAAAAATTAGAGCTGAGTATATTCATAATAGAAGTTGTGTGTAGGGAGCAGCACAAAGAAAAACAGAATACTAGAAGGACACTTATTAAGTCAATAAAACCTTGATATTTCAATTAATTGGTTACTAATTTCATTTTTCTATTGATGTAAGATATTAATTGGCTAATTCTCTTTTTGTCTGAACAATGTTAAAAATTGAAGAAACTTTTTAAAAAGCAGGTTTCAAAGTCACCTTCCAAGGTTTCATCAATGTTTTCTCTAATTTCATGTGTATGTGCACATTCATGCCATGGACTTGTATGCTGAGATCAGAGGGTAGCTTGTATAAGGTGGTTCTCTCCTTCCACCTTGTGGGTCCCAGTTACTGAATTCAGGTAATCACAGTTGGCAGCAAGTGACTTTAGTTGTTAAACCATCTTAATAGCCCTACATTCTATTTTTTAAGAAAAAAAAATTGGTGTGTGTGCACGTGTTTGTGTTTGTACATGCATGTGTACCTGCTTGCGTGTGTGTGTGTGTGTGTGTGTGTGTGTGTGAGAGAGAGAGAGAGAGAGAGAGAGAGAGAGAGAGAGAGAGAGAGAGAGGCACACAAGAATACACATACCCCAACATTTATGTGAAGGTCAGTAGATATCCTGGAGTATTGGTGCTTTGCTTTCTGCCTTGAAAGAGATAGGGTCTCTTAGTGGCATATGCCAGGCTAGGTGGTCCACATACTTCTTGCAGTTCTTGTATCTTTACCTCCCATCTTGCCATAGAGCTGCTAGGTGTCGTTCATGTAAGCAGGAATTACAGTGTATGGTCATTGACAACAATAATACCAGCAGCAAAGATGAAAAGAGCAAGGTTCAAAATCAGTTTGTAATACATGATGAAAGCTACAGTTCAAAATACTTATTTGGGGACAACAATAAGTATCTTCAGACCTCAGATTACTCATTTATACTATGAAGAGAATAAGTGCTTCATTCTCTTAATACTCTCAAGGCAGTGGATTTCCAGTTCTTGAAATGTACAACCAAGGTCACTTCCGTAAGGGACCTAGAATAAGTAAAGAGTCTACTAACAGTGTTCAAAAGGTAATGTGAAAAAAAAATAGTCAAAATTAGACCTTTTCTAAGAAATGGGGTTTTGTTATCAATCTCATGTCTACTGAAAATTCTCTTCCTTTAAAATATATTTAACTCTTTGTCCATTTTACACTATGTATTTTCATCCTCCTCCTCTTAACTCCTCCCAGATCGACCTTCATCTCCCTACTCCTTCCCAATGTTGTGTGATGATGTATGCATATATGTAATGCATATGTATATATGTGTATAACCCACCAAGTTTAATTTCTGCTTCTCATATGCTCATTCTTTTCTACCTGACCTTGGGTAAGATGTTTAAATGCTTTGGATTAGGTTATACCTTTAAAGCAGAAGTTCCCATATCTGGCTGCATATTAGAATCTAATGAGGGCTTAACAGTAATATCTCCCAAAGGCATGTGCAGGAATGCTCAGAGTGGCGCTGTTTGTAATAATGCCAAGATTGGAAATGATGTGTATGGACAGGATGAATAAAGACACTTCAGTACACTCAGATGAGAGGACCATAGAGCAGGGGGTTAGCCAAATTCTACTAGAGGTCTGCAGTCTCGGTTGCAGTCTGCCATCAGAATGTGAAAACCGCTATTGACAATATTAAACCAAGTAGACTGATGATGCTGCAGTAAAACTTTCTTTATAAAGCAAGAGTGTAAGCCCATCACTATTT